ATGGGGACTCATTAGAGCTGGACAGCACTCCTCCCCACCTCAGCCAATGTCCAAGGCTCATGGGACTCTGCCTTCCCACACAGCTCCACAACCTGAGCTTTCTCTGTCAGGCCCAGTGCTAAGGGTACAGGGACTGAAGCTTATCAACTCCCATCAAGGTCTTAAGGCTTGAATGTTAGCAACCTCATGTTACAGATTAGAAAAAGGAGGCGAGCTAGAGTGTAACTCTGGTGTATAATGCTTGCCTGCCTACCTAGTACATCCAAGGCTCTGAGACTCATCCTTAGTACCAAAGGAGACAGAAACATCAGAGCTGATTGTAACATGGCACCAACATTCTTACTCAGGTCTTCCTGAATTAAACGAGCTGAGCTTACCATTTGGCTATCTGGCTCTTCCCTGAGTGTTTCTTCTGTTTTAGGTCATGTAACATACAGCAGTCTCTCATGAATGCTCACCTGTTAGTTCTTTCCCCCTGTGCTCCCCCTTCCCCACTTGGGGCCACCTCCTCCCTCCCTGGTACAGGCACCAGAACTGCCTTCAGTGCCTGTACCATGTCCATAAGGTGCTCTGCTCTTGCAATGTGCACTCTCCCTCTTCGAGCACATTCTGTCCAACAATCCTGCCCTGTAGTGGAATGCTTCTCAGCCTGCTACTCTAGAGATACCTTCCCAGTCCTCCATCCTGGCTGACCCACAATTCTGGGAAGACATATTGTGGCCTCATCAGAGTATTAGATGCAACTCTCAGAGAAAAGCCTTCCTAATAAATAGGCCATTTGACTCATGGTTGAATGGGCTGATTTTCGCAGACTGCACTGATCCCATTATTAGAAGTTGTCAAGTCAAAACTCAACAAGAACCTTTCAGGATTGTGATGGTGGAGAAAGAGTCTGCTATCTCAGATCTATACAGCATGACTCACTGGGACTTCATTAATGATCTGACTTCTCAGTGTGGCTATCCAGCCCCAAAGCAGGGGCCTTGGAGCTGGCTCAGAGTAATATCTCCATGAAGGTTTTTTTGTATAAATTCATCGTGCACAGAGAGGCATGGTCTACTGCATCTCAGAGCCTACTTCCCAGGAAAACTGACTTGCTACATAAAGACCCCAAGCCTGCATTGGTTCCCCCAGGATCCATGCTTGCACAAGTTGGTATGTGTGTTTGGGAGATAGGGTATCATATTAACGAGGCTTTCCAGGAAACCAAACCAAAAGGACTCATATAGAGGTATAGAAGACAAGATTTATTATAGAGATCAGCTAATGTTAGATTATAGAAACCAAGAAGTCCCACCATCTGCCACCTATAAACTTCAGAGCAAGGAAAACTGTGATGTCATCCAGTCTGAGTCTGAAGGCCTGTGAACCGGAAGTGCCGTGTTCAAGGGTGGGACAACATGGACTTGCAAACTCATGAAGAGAAAACATAAGCTCTCCTGCCTTTCTGTTCTCCTCAGCCCCTCAGAGGATGGAGGATTCTCACCCACACCCCCAGGAAAGCCTGACTTCTTTACTCAAACACTAACATGTTCCTGAAATACCTTCAAGTTGCTCACTAGTAGTGCTTGGCCAGCAGTCTGAGCTTTGCTTAGCCTGCTCACACTGACACATACAACCCAGTCATCAGAGACATGGAGGTTTTACAGATTTGCAAGAGATTCTAGACACAATTAAGGCGAAGTGCTAGGCTGAGCTGCGGTGGTGCACACCTGTAAATCCAGCACTTGGGAGGCAGAGACAAGAGGGTTGTGAATTTGCGATTAGCGTGGGCCACATAGTAAGACTGTATTTCCAAAAAAAAAAAAAAAAAGTCTAAATAAGCACACAAAAGTGAGATGACCCTGATTGGGCTTGGCAAGTGTGAAGCCTACACCATAGAGTTGTGGGTGAGGACCTGAAAATTTGGGGACACAGAAGGAAGAGAAGAAAGGTTAAAGAGTCTAGTGACCACCTTAGAGGACTGCGCCTTGATTAAGTGTTCATACTTACCCTGATTACCTCACAACACTGCAGAGCTATGCTGCTACATCATTTATAATGTTTCCTGACATTTGGTGGGTCTTTGGAAAACTTTAACTTTCAGCGAAAAGAGTGAGCAGTAAGGAGAATATTGAAATCATCAATGGAGGGATAAAAATGTTCAGGCTTGTCATGGTAAAAATGGTCTTCATGTCAATGACAGGTTTCCTAAGAAGATTCCAGAATGCCAGTCGGGAGAAGCAAGGAGCCTGAAGACTGGTGCTGAGAAAGGAAGACTTCCCCAGTGGCTCCAGCTGGACCCCACCCCTCCTCTGCTGGGAGCACTGGCAGGGAGGGGCTATCCTGGCAGACTTTTCTTCCACTAAATTAGTTTGACACTTTTGTTTTCAAATTTGAGATATTTTTGGAGGGCTGAGGATGGAAAAAAAAAGCATGATCTCTTTTTCAGATAATTGCTCATGCCCTGTTTTTGTTTAAGTTCTTGGAAATTAAAAATCAGAGCATGTGAAATGCAAGGCCTTGAGGCACTTAGTTCTGGCCAGGCACTTAGTTCTGGAAGGGCCAGGCCATGACTGAAAGGGTTCCCTTGCTCATCCTGTAGACAAGATATAGCAACCAGAGGAGAGGCCATGGAGCCTACATGGAGTCCTCAGGGATACCAGATGGTGGCTTCTCATTCTACATTTCGCTGAATGTAGGGACAGACATTGCATGAACTAGCATCTCCTTTACAACTGTTCTGGAAACAAGGATACAGTTAGGGTATCCACTCCCCACTGTGGCTTCCCCAGCAGTAAGGTGTAGGGTCAGGCATCAGAGACATTTTGCTTGGATAGGGGTAGTAGACTGGGGTAGTAGACTGGTAGGGGTAGTAGATCTTAGAAGAGTCTGCCTGACAGAGGGCTGGAGAACCTGCCTGGAGTCTTCCTCATTCTGAGCTCTCATGTACCCTTCACCATTAGTTCTTACAAGGGCTATCTTTACACCTTGTGAAGTTAAATTCACAGTCTTTCAGGCAGCAGGAAGGAAATGATTGGGCAGAAGCTACCCAGTGACCCCCATGGTAGGGAAGATGGGGCAAACAGGCAACTGGGAAGAACTTGATTGAACAGCATGAAAGTCAGATGAGCTTGGATCCTTATCATTCCTTAATCCAGACCAGCTGGGTGATCTTGGGCAGGTCAAGTAGGAATTTTGGGTGTTTCCTTACCAGATTCAAGAGTAAAGTCACAGTTCCTGTGTCCCCTCCTTTTCTAGCATGATGACTGTGACCTGTTCTCTACTGTCCTTTAAAGACTTCTAAATATTCTGAACCTCACATCCTGACCTCTAGAGGGCAGGGGAATGTCTGCTTCATCCCTCAGGGCCTGAGATTCAGTGCCCAGGAAGCTTTTGCCTCGGGGGGAAAAATGCTCCTTCCATGAGAAACAGTGCTGCTACTTCCTAAAGCCCCAGGGATGAGCCCAGTCTTCCTGAAACAGAAGGCCTCATACCTCTCATTCCACCTGGTGGAGCAGGGACCCAGGCTCCAGATTCTCAATGGTAAGATGGGGTCTGTCTGTCTGTTCCCTGTAGGGAACTGCATTTAGAGCCTCAGTGTTTCTGAAGGTTGCATCGAAAGCAGTGTTACCAGAGATAATTTTCCTTCCTCTGTTCTGTCCCATCTGTGACAAGCCTGGGTTTCCTGGCTTTCTTGAAGTGGGTAAGAAGGACAGCTCCTAGTAATTTGGCTCTAGGCAGGGCCTTGGTTCCAGGTGGGATTCCAAGGCATTTGTCACACAGCACAGATGCAATTTCCTCTTTTGCAAGTTACAGGACTACTGGGTGTCTTCCTGGAACTGTCTGGGAGGTAGCAAGGGCTGCCACTGTCTTTAAATGGCATGGTGTTGGTTCCCTCTAGTTCACAAATGGGAAACTAAGACAAGAAAACCCCGGTCATCTTAACCTTAGGGATGGACAGTCTGTTAGTCTGTCCTCTTCAAAGGACTGCTCTGCAAAGGACCTTCTTTCTGTGTGTTCCTGGTCAGCCTAAATCTTGCCCTTTGTCCCAGCTTCCCTGGAAGAAGTCAAATGACTTCTGAAGTCTTCCCTATGCCCTTGAATACCTGAGCCGGCCCTTCCAGAAGCTGTCAAAGCATCAGGCTACCCTGTCATGACTGCGCCTTTATGTCTGTGCAGCCTCCACTGGATAGTAAGCTACAGGAGAGCAGGGTAGGCCGTTCTCCCCCCTCCGGGCACAACATTTAGACTCACCAAGGGAAAGAATGAACTGGTTTTGCAAGAATGGGACTCGAACCTGCCCCTCCAGGTGCACTTCCACCGACCTGGAACCGGTGAGCCTTCAGAGTGCTGGGGGGCCCTGGGTGCTTAGGGTGGCTATGGAAGCGTGGCTTATGTAGGGGCGCACCCGTCAGGCAGGGCAGGGCGCCCGGTGGGGGCTAGGGGTGGGTGGGGGCAGCCCCTGGAAGCGCAAGATATTGTTAGGGTGATGAGGCCAGGTGACCTGCTGGGCCCTGGGCGCGGGCCGTCCGTGGCGATT